GGTTTCTGCGGCCCCGACGCGACAGCTGCCCAGCGGGGCCGCGTACCGCTCCTCTCCGGGCTCTAGCCTCGCCCTCTTGCTGGGAAGGAAGTCGGGCGCCGCCGACGCCTTACTCCGGCGTTTCCTGGACTGCCTCGCCGCCGGGCTCATGTTCTCTTTGTCCTCTGTGATTTCACTGTCACACGCGCACTCCTCTGCCTCCACGGCAGTCTGCGGCGCAGGGCTCAGTGCGCACTGAGGCTCGGTCTGTGCGGGCTCGGCTTCCTGGGGTGGCAACTGTTTCTGCTCCTCGGAGCTGGGGCTGCTGTCCATGGGCTCCTGTGGTGTCGGCGCCCCGGGGGCCTCGCTCTCCCGAGAGGCGTGATAGATGTCCCTGGCAGACCGCATGACCAGAGAGACCAAGAGGCTCCGGTGGAGCCTCAGTCCGCCTCTTTGGGTCCTGGACGCGTACAGTTTGCTAATGGACACCGCCAGGATCCGTCTGGCCTCAGCGTTCACCTCCATGGCTGTTGATGTGGCACTCATTGTTCCTCAGTTATGCGCAATTACGCACTGTACTTTTGGCACATTTAGCGGTTGTGCGTTAAATGGACCGACTGGTCTTGAGTCCGGAGTCAGAGAACAGGTTCCGCTCGGCTCTCGTGACGTTCACGCAGAGAAATGAGAGCCGTGGTGGAGCAGAGCGCGTTTTTATTTCCTCTGTGACGTCACGTGGAGTTCATTCCTTAGTTAGTGACAAACAGGCGCCGCCCACACCCACTACTACAATCACACGCCAGCGCGCGCACGCGCTCGCTGACACACGTGCACGCGCTTTCTCATCATTATCCACATCATAATCACCATCGTGATGTGATTCTGACACCTTCGTCCTGCGGCTGTTGTTCCATCACTCACTAAGACTTTCTACTGAGGAGTTACTGTATGATCAGCCACTTCCGTTTTTGTTTATGTGTCAGCGTTGATACCACAATAAAGGGATTTAAAAGCACCATTTTTTTTTGTTAAAAAGTGAACATCATCCAGTTTAAAAAAAAAATTTAAATCTGTTTTCGCCCTCAATTAATACGATACAAATAAACGAACTCATACAAATATATATATATATATATATAACTACCCTGGCAAAAATAAAAATAATTGTATCATGTTTTCATCCAGAAACAGACCATAAACAGCGTCTGGAGAAACAAAGTTATTTAATTAAGGTTGATTTTTTTCTATAGTTTTTCGTTTAACTTTTCTCCAATAGAACTAAATATGTATTTATAATATTAATTTAAATATTGTCATAATGTCTTAGATAGTTAGATAGATGTGATGTGTTCTAATGTGAGAAAAGAACTAACGTCACTGTGTTTACACTATACTGAAACTAGGCGGCGCTTCGAGGAATTAACGTGGAAGGAAACGTGTCTCATGTTTTGCTTCATCTTTTTCACTCACACACACACACACACACACACTGCGCATTCTCAGTTTCCATATATGGTTTATCCGGTTGTAAAACCCCGTGGGGACGCGCACAGTGGAAAAGCCATGACGTGTGCGCGCAACCGCAGCCTGCTCCCTCCCCCTCCCTGCCTCCACTTTTTTTTTTTTCGTCTTTGGTGATGTGTTAATCCGGCCTCCATATAAGGACCTGTCAGCGGTGTAAACGGGGTTACTAGGCAGCGGCACAGCTGAGGTCAAACTGCAGACAGCTGTCAGCGCCACTGCCCTGTTGTGATATGTTTAAGGAACGTAGGAAACGCAATATTTATTTCACTTCCGTGTAGGTTTTTCAAGCCAACGCCTGCGACTGTTTACAAACCCTGTCTTCTAAAGACGCAATTGCTTCCCGGTTGGTGTTTGTTTTTGTGTTTTTTCTTTCCTTTTTTAAACAAAAGTGATTATGTAACATTATATAACCAATTAAGTTAGAGACTGGTGATTGGTATAAAAATTCACACCAGAATCAAGTCGACTATAAAGTAGAGAACCTGCTGTTCTGAAGAACCGTACACCTTCTGTCAGTGCTGACAAATTATGTCCATAATTGTTATAAAAATCCACACAAACACATTAGCATGAAATGACTATTTAGGTAAATGATAAATGATGTTAGCTTAGCATGTTTTTCACTGCCGCAGCACTGCACCAGTCTGTTATTCATTTGCAGAAGAAAAATAAGACAAAAATCAGATTAATTGTAGCATCACCCCTTATGATTTTTATAGTTTTATATTATACATATATATGGACTATTGTTTAATTTATTTCTTATTTTGAGGTTTGAAACCATGTTCACTCATGTGACCTAATGTTCTAATGATTAATGGTCAAATAAACACACATCACCCACGTTCTGACAACATGGGCGTTTAATGTTCTAATGATTAATGGTCAATAAATCACCCACGTTCTGACAACATGGGCGTGGACAAATAGCTGAGTTGTGAGTCCAAAGATGAGCCACAAAAATATTTAATTTTTTGTTTTGTTTTTTTTTTCTTTCTCCTTTTGTTCATGGCGTAAAAATGTGATGTTTCCCCACAGACCTGTCACGGCTTGTTTAATGTTTATTGACCTCACAGATGAATCGCAGCAGGTCATACTAACACAACCGCTGATTCATTTTTTTAAAAAAATCAGCAATAAATATTCACCCAGTTTAAAAGTTAAACCAAATATTTTTCTTAAATTAAAAAAAAAAGTTTCCTTGTGTTGAAATCTGTTTTGCTGGATGTCAGACAAACACAGGTTCCCAGCACTGGACGACTCCCACAGTAATTACAGTGATTAACTACAGTAATGATACCATTCTGATCAGAGTCCACATCTGTGTATGAATCACACTCAGAGTGTGAACGACACTCTGAGTGATCACTCATTATCAGTGACACGAGGACCTGGTGATTCCCTGCTCCGCTGAAACCATGGAAACCTCTTTAACATTGTTGTGTCTTCCCTCCTGTGTGACGTTACCAGGGACATGTGACACACAAACGGTGTAATGAATACCTTCATACACTGTTCACCGTCGGCAGTGAAGTGGACTGACTTACATAACAATGGCAAATTCTACTGTTAAACCACTTTAAAGGTGTATCCGAAATATACTAACTGCTTGTTTTTGTTTTTTTTATGGCCCCAAAAAATATGTCAAATAGTTAATAATATAAAGTCTGAAAAATGATCCAGATCTATTTAAAATATTGCAAAATGTAATCCAGAAAATAGGGTTTACACAACATTACTATTAAATGTTAATATTAAGAAATGTCTAAAACCTAAGTAAAAAAAAGTTATACAAAAATAATAGACTATAGAAATAAAAGATTATATACAGGTATATTATTAAACCAAATTATACCATTATATTTTCAGTCAAACACTGCTTTTTGTTTTTGCTATATTTACGGTAATTTATGTTTTTTTTTTACAATTGTTTTAGTTAACACCAATGATGATTAAAATTGTACTTATTTTCCAATACTTTACAATTGTTTTAGTTAACACCAATCATGATTAAAATTGTACTTATTTTCCAATTGCAGCTCCACTATTTTCAGATGTAATTTACTATTTAAATCCTTATTTTTGTTTTATATATTTTTTCAGATATTTCTGGTATTCCTAGTAGCTGTGCTGCTTATTTCCAAACCTACATTCTATTCGTGCTCTTGATGACGGAGCTGTCGTAAAAGTAAGGGAAAATCCAAACATGGCCGAGCCTGACTGGTCACCATGGAGACGTAGTGTTATGTAGCATTACGCTCTCACTGCCTAAGGTCAAATTAGAGGTAAGTGTGTGTCTCTCTGTGTGTATGTGTGTACATGCTTTAGCTCTGCTGCATAAACACTGGCTTCTCAGCCTTAGAAATGACCTACTTCCAGATGCTGATGTGTCATAATTCACCTTATAACCCCACACCATAATGACAATATGTAAGTTTAGTTTCTCAGGTGGTGGGCCGTGACCCAAAAGAACATGACCTTTTGAAATGTAGATTAGACCTCGTTTAAATTTCTGAGGCCACATGTGGTTTTGTAATAGGAACTGTGACATCATATGTTCTTCATTTTTTGACTGCTGGTCTGCGACAGCACATGTGGACAGTAGGGAACATTGTATTGTCTAAAAATGGGTCAGTATCTGTGGTACATCTGTGAATCATCGTTCTGTAGCACTAACGCCTGTTCTGTCCTGTGTTGCAGGAAGAACTTTTGTCTAAGTTCCAGGTTTTGTGAGGTGAATTCTCTGGTGAATTTTTCTGTTTCATCTCTGATCACAGTTTCCACTGTAAATACAAACAATTCTATTCTCTTATAAGAATATTTTTATTGAGACTTTAAGTGAATATGTAGCTGTGAAGATAAAACGTTCAAGAGATCTTTTTACATTCAGCACAGCAACATCAAGATGTGCGATACGTAGGCCTCAGTTTTCACATATTAATTATGTTATAATTATTATATATCTTATATAATTATTATAAATAATTACAGACAAGAAAACGTAAAAATAAATTCATTGGATGACAGGATTGAAAATAATAGCTGTGAACTGCGCACCGGTCTGTAAACATAGCAGACAAATAAAAAAAAATACAGTTAAAAAAATAAACTGTTTGTGTTTATAACATGTTGATTCACTTCTTTACTGAATTTGATATGAATTTTAGAAAAATAGATTTTTTCAGCTATTTTCAGCTATGGCTATTGATACAATGCAATTGCGATTTAAAATACTTTATTTAATATAATCATTCTATGCTGCACCAGTAATCGATGTATACATTTTCCGATGTGTAAACACTAACGTACTGTAGTCCTCAGACCCTTATCTCTCTGCAGCTTGAAGGCGATAAGGTTTTGGGGAATGAGTTCCTCCCAACGTAAACTCCAGCGTGGGCTGTTCTCCAGCAGGTGCTGAGAAGGAGAACCTCTGAAGGAGAGAGGTGAAGAAGAGGAACAACTCCATCCTGGCCAGCTGCTCACCAGGACATACACGTTTGCCTGAGGAGGTAGGACACGTCGATCAGGTGTGATGACGCTTCTTTTCTTCACTTAATAATAAAAAAAAAGAAAGTAACAAATTCTTACTCACCCGCTGAAAAGGGGAGAAAGGCCTCCCTCTTCCTCAGTGAACCATCCAGGTTCAGGAAGTGTTCAGGGTTGAAGGAATGAGGGGTTTCCCACATAGACTCATCGTATAAGACAGAGTGCAGTGTTGGAATTATGAAGGTGCCCTTAAGCAAAAAATAAAAAACAAAAACAAAAATTAATATGGTATTTTGCCACCAGGTGTGAGGGTCGTTGCTCCTCTTTTATTTTCTCCCAGTGTGTGCGCTAGTTTTGGGATAAACCCAGAAGAAGTTCAACCAGTCCAACATGGAGCTTTATGCAAAGACTGACAACCAATTATATTCCTTCTCCTTAACCATCGGGAAAACAATGAAATAATTAAGTGTAACCAGTAGTCACCGCAGCGTATTCTACAGTTTAGTTTGGATCTAAAAGTAATTAAAAAGAAATTAACCCATGTGCAGTTAAAGGGAGCCAGTATTTAACAAACAACAGATTAAATGAAGAGTTTTAAAAATCCGTACTTTTGGAATTGTGTATTTGTCGAGCGTGGTGTCCCTGACTGTCATGTGGGCTACGTTCAAGGGCAAGATGTCTCCCATCCTCTGGATCTCATGAATGACTGCATCAGTGTAGGGCATGTTCTCTCTGTCTTTTATTGCGGGCTGTCTGGACTGACCAATCACGGCGTCGATCTCAGCCTGGACTTTCTCTGCAATAAATGAACATATAAGAAGATGTTTATATAAATTTCATCCTAATCAGTCAATATAAATCAAGTCATATCTAAAATCAGAGCCACTCTTTGTATGTCACCACTGTTAGGCTAAGCTCCGCCTCCTACTTCAGTGTCAGAGCTGCACAAACATTCCGTGCTGTGCAGCTGCTCTGACCCAGTTTTAACAGGAGAACCCAGTCTTGGCGACCCGACTCTACACACAGACCTTGTATGTGAGGGTTTTTGACCATGAAAAGCAGTCCCCACAGTAACGTGGTCGATGTCGTTTCAGTTCCAGCAAAGAACAGGTCCAGAGCACACGAGTACAAATTCTCCATTTCTAATCCAGAATCCGGGTCTTCTTTCTGTGAGTGAAAAAAAAATGGACTCAACAAATGACATTTAAAAAAATAATAATAATAAAAAAAATCCCCGCTTTACAAATAACACTCACTTCTCCCATTTCTATGAGGAAATAGTCGATGTAGTCTCTCGGGGACGAGGGGTCAAGGTTTTCTTTATGCTCTTTGACCCTGCTTGTGATATAATCCCTGAGTTTGTACTCCAAAGAGAAAATCCTCTGGTGAGGTCCAGGTAGTCTCTTCACCAGCCAGGGGAAGGTGTTGTAAACCTGCAGGGCATAACAGAAGGGAAAGGTCCTCGTCAGCAGTCCAGGAAACGATAACAAAATTATTCTAAAACCTGATATTGTCCACCAAATTAAAGTATGTAGTAGTTTATTCTCACCTGCACCCACACTGACCCGAACAGGAGTATTAATTCATTAAAGTCTTGGAGAATGGACTGGTACTGCTTGTCAGTGTACTCGAAGCGGTTACCAAAAACCAGGCAGCAGATGATGTTAGAAACAGCATAGTTTATGAGTGACTGGGGGTTCAAGGGCTTTCCTGTAAGACAAGAAGGAAACAGAAAAACAACAACAAAATAAATCGTCACACCGAGTGCAGAAACTCAGTTTGAGGGCCGTGTATCCTGACAAATGGGCTGTAACCTAATCTCCAGATGTGGGCCATGTCAAATATTATTGGTTTAATTTAATTGCTCTGATTGTTCCTGCGATTCACTGTTGTCATGGATAAAGTATAACAACTTTCTTCTGGTGTCTGTACAGTCTAATAATAATAAGTTGTTGTTTGGTGTCTGTACAGTCTAATAATAATAATAGAAGTAAAGTTATAATAGAATTATGTTCACAAATCAATCCGTCCGACCAGATATATACGGCCCTCGGTGCGATTATGGTCTGCGGGCCGTATGTTGTCTTTACACTGTTGGTGTAAGCTGCTTTTGGAGTTCTTCTGAGTGTTTCTGTAGGCGTGTTGAAACTGCAGAGATGATGCCGTGATGTCGAGTGGAGAATGTCCTGCAACACTCTCACACAGAGAGAAGGAGTTCATCATTTGCGTCTTGGTGAAGTTCATTACCGTGCTCAGCTGCAAACGCCTCAGTGAGATACTGACACTCCTGCTGGATGGAGCGCTCCAGGGTCTTCTTGCCCAGACCGAGGTTCTTCAGAGTCTGAAGAGCGAATCTCCTCTGCTGCTTCCATGGTAAACCACTGGACTGAACGATCCCTGCTCAAACGCAAGACGTAACCTGACCTTAAAACCGTGACCTCGTTAACACAGTGCACTTGACAGTCATGCTTTAGAATCAACCACAGAACGCATCACACGTTTACGTACCTTTGTAGGCCGTTAAATCGTTGATCATCGGTATGATGGGACGATCTACGTAGTCCTCCCCGTTTTGGACCAGGGCTTCCCTGACGTGTTTGTAGCCATTGATGACCACGACTCTACTGCCGAAGACGTTGATGCTGAATATTTTCCCGTATTTCTGTGAAAACTGAACAAAGTTTGTAGTTCAGGTTAACAAGAAAACTTTGTCATGTACACTAGTGTTACATTTTGCAAGTCATTGTTTTTCTCGGTTTGTTTGTCATGTGGTAGGAGGCGCCCTTTCACCTGCTTAGATAACACAGGGTTAGTCTTTACATTTCTCCGCTTCATTTCATTGAGAAATGGGTTTGAAATATAACCAGAATCTCAGAATCTCTCTCACTATCATTTTTCCACATTATGTTACGTTTCTTGTGACTCCATGTGAATACAGTCAGTCCAGTAGGTTGTAGCTTCCCACTGGATTTACTGGAAGAACTAGTTTTATTTACTGCCACCGAGCCCTCATTCTGTGCACACGTTATAATCGTTCCTCTTTTCGTTTGTTATGTATTTTTGTGCTGTTTTTTTTTTATTTTTGTGCTGTCACGAGGTCAGAAACCGTAAATCGTCAGCAGTTACCACAGATGGATTAAACTTTCTGACATGTCTGGTATGCCATACACGGTCTATGTAGACGTTACACAAGAACAGCTTACTTCCTCAAACTGCAGGTGAAGTCTAGCAGGCTCGATGCGAAAAATGTCACCTATCAGAAGCAGTGACCGCGGTCCAGGAGGAAAGTTAGCCGGCACTTTGTGCTTCCTGGTATTTACCAACAGCAGAAAAACACACAGAAAAATCAAAGCACTCCAGACGTCTGTCCACTGTATGCTGGATAGCAGATCCATTCCTTCACTTCCCTCTATGTTTTTAAGATTTTGTGGCTTGACCTGATCTTGACTTAGGAACTTAGTTCTTTTTTTAAATCTTCACGTAAAGCTTAGCGTGAATGCAACCCAATGCAAACAGAGAGCTGCTTAGACTCCACCCTGTCTTCTATCACAAAGGTCCCACAGGGATACTGTTATATAACCCTTCCTTTTAGGAACTCTTTTTTTCTCTCTGTGTATTCCACTCTTAATGTCAAAGTCTGAAACAGCCTCGGAAAACTGCAAGACCTCTAAAAAATAAAACTATGATTTTCCAAGCACTTTTGGACTGTATGGACTTCACAGGTTGGCTGCTGTTGGCTTTTGCACTGTTACTTTTGACAGATGTGATAAAAAACTGGAGACGCAGCGACTCCCCCCCCGGACCGTTGGCTTTGCCGTTTTTTGGAAACGTCTTCACTGGTGTTGATTTCGAATCTATCCAGAAGGTGAGTTGAACAGAAACCGTAAATCGTGGAGAAACGATGAAATGTCTTGACAGAAATCAACTCAGATTTTGCTTTTCTAATGCAGCTGGCTGAGAAGTACGGTCCTGTGTTCAGCTTGAGGAGAGGCAGTCAGAGAATGGTGTTTATTTCGGGATACAAGATGGTCCGCGAAGCTCTGGTCAACCAGCTGGACAGCTTTGCTGATCGACCGATAATTCCTCTGTTCCACGACACCTACCAGGGCCTTGGTAAAAAAAAAAGAAAAAAAAAAGAAATCCTTAAATCAAAATCAACAAATGTTAGAAAGGTCAACGTTGTCAGAATTATGAGGGCCAAAGATGTGGATCACTTACTGTTGATGTCTTTGGGTGAATTCTGTTTACATCACAAACAAACTAAAATTCCTATTTCTATGTATTCAAGGCATATCACTGAGTAACGGTTACCTGTGGAAGAAACAAAGGAAGTTCACCAACATTCACCTGCGCTACTTTGGAGAAGGACAGAGGTCAATGGAAAAGTCCATTCAAGTGGAATGTAATTGTCTTTGTGAGGCGTTTAAAGAAGAACAAGGCAAGTAGTAAAATGGAAAACAAATTTAAGCTTTTATGAGAAGCTGAAAAGAGCTCAACTGAAGTTGTTTTTCCAGGAAGACCTTTCCAACCACATTCTACTATAACCAGTGCTGTGTCCAACATCATCGCCTCGGTGGTCTTCGGACATCGGTTTGAGTACAGCGATGAAATCTATCGTAAAGTTTTGGAGTTGGACAGTCAAGCCGTGTTTCTCGCTGGCTCGGCTCGGGCTCAGGTAATTAACGGCTAATTCATCATCACGGTACCTCAAAAAACTGTACTACCGTGTACTTTTTTCCCCTGTCACCCACAGCTGTACGATGCCTTCCCTGGCCTGCTAAAGTACTTCCCCGGGCCTCACCAGACGGTTCTCTCCAACTACAGAGAGATCAAAAATTTCCTGAGGAAACAGATAGAGAAGCACCAGGAGGATTTGAACCCAGAGGAACCTCGAGATTACATTGATGTTTATCTGACAGAGATTGAGAAGGTCGGACTTTTGAGACAAGCCAAATGCTTAATGTGGTACATTTGCGACTCTGGAGTGGGATGAACTGAATCGATTTATTGATGTTCTCAGAATAAAGGGGATCCTGCGGCTGGCTTTAACATCGAAACCCTGTTGATCTGCACCCTTGATATGGTCGAAGCTGGGACAGAAACAACTGCCACCACTTTACGCTGGGCTCTTCTCTACATGATGCACTACCCAGAGATACAGAGTCAGTCCAGTACATGTGTGTTTTTACCAGTGGTTATTTGTGTCGCTGTTAATCATAGGACATAAGTTTAGTAAGTTTTATCAAGGTGTGTTTCAGGGACCTTACTTTGGGAATTTTCTAGCTAACTTCTAGCAATCTTTTTAGCTAACGTCTATTGGTGTTTTATAGAAACTTAGAGCAAATTGTGCAAAAAACCCCAAACAAAACCAAAAAACATTTTGGACTGCTTACATTTTTTCTTTGACAGCTATTGTAAATTTAGTTAAGACTCAATCAGGTTTCACTAGCTTTACCTTTCCTGAACCTGCTGCTGAACAGAGAAGGTCCAGGAGGAGATTGACGTCCCACAGAGAAGGTCCAGGAGGAGATTGACGCAGTCATCGGTCAATCTCGTCTGCCCACCATGGCCGACAGACCCAACCTACCGTACACTGACGCGGTCATCCATGAGATACAGAGGCACGGGAACATACTTCCCTTAGGTTTTCCCAAAATGGCCAGTAAGGACAGCATGCTGGGAGGATACTTTATACCTAAGGTAATGCAAATAGTCAAGGTTAAAGAAAAACAAAACAATGCAACCTCTGCAAAGGTCTCGTTTTTTTCCCCCCAGGGCACAGTAATATCTGCCATACTGTCATCCGTACTGTTTGATGAAAGTGAGTGGGAGAATCCGCACGCTTTCAGCCCTGAGCACTTCCTGGATTCTGATGGCGCTTTTCGCAAGAGAGACGCTTTCTTACCATTCTCTGCTGGTTTGTCCTATACATTTTTTGTTAATACACGATTTCCCAGATTATAACTGACAAATGTATCTTTATGTAATCTTTCACTCCTGTTGCTTGTCTTTCTCTCTCCAGGTAAACGTGCGTGTGTTGGTGAGCACTTGGCCAGAATGGAGTTGTTCCTTTTCTTCACATCTGTGCTCCAGCGTTTCACCATCTCCCCGGCCCCTGGAGAAAAGCCCAGACTGGAGATTGTGATGGGCTTTACCAATGCCCCAGAGGCGTACAGCATGTTGGCCATACCTCGATAATGTTTTTTTACTCCCTCTAAGCTGCTCCTTCTCTGTAAGACAGGGAGAGAAAAGGAGCTGCAGTAAAGAAGGATGGAAGAATCTGATTTAATCATTTATTCATCGTTAAATCATGGAATCATCTGAATTTAAGATGCAGTACATCTCAATAGTAGCTCACTGATGCTATTCATCTTTTATACACGATCGAGAAAAATATTTACTCAGCAAAAAAAAAAAAGCGATGCTATTCATCTTTTATACATGATCAAGAAAAATATTTACTCAGCAAAAAAACAAAAGAAAAAATGCTTCTTTGTACCCTATATTTGCCATGCACTCAATGAGCCTCTTATAACCTGCTATGGTTTTTAAGACTCAAGGCCAGATCAGCTCCACCTCCGGTAACTTCCCCTGAAAACCCATCTTGATAAAGTTAACTCTTTTCTTTGTCCGTTAGTTCTCTTCTGGCCAACAGGAGTCCTTCAACATTGAGCTCATTATTTCCAGCACGTAGACTACAAAAGAGACAACCCAACCTACAACAGTATGTGTTGGCCTCTCTTTTTGTCATGAATCTGTTGCCAAGAAAGCAGCTCGAAGCTTCTCTTAAATCAAATGTACTTCTTGCTGAAGGAGGGCGGCGTGCGGCGCATAACGGTGAATAGAAAAAGTCAAGTCGGAGACGAGAAGTTTGGAAACTCTGAACAAGTGCCCCAGTGTATACCTGACAGCTGGGCAGAATCATACAGCAGCTGCAGTTGCTGGGTGACTGTAACAAACAAATGCAGTTGTCATAGTAGCTCCGTGTTGTGATCACATACACTTACTTCAGTCAGACATGTACGATATAATTTGAGGCAGTAAAACCATCACGTAACAGCGGCCGTAATGATGCTTCGGTGACATCAGCTTCACTTCACAAGTTTTCAAACTGAGGTCACCGTTGTGATGGTTTTCAACTGAACTACATACCAAACATTTATATTGCAAACAGTGAAAGTCTAAAACCAAAAAGCTAAAAACAAATGTTTGAACTGAAAGGTGCAGAATATGCAAAATAGATGGCTCTCAATGAATTTTAAAAATTTGAAATTCTCTATATTTTTTTATTGTTCCACTGCAAATATTCATACATATATATATATATTCATGACTGTATATTTCCTGATGAGATTTTTTTACAAGATTTTAAATACTCTAAATGTTGATAATGTACCATGTAATGAATGTACAACTGCACACCACCAAATATCAGTTTTACTGTTTTACTGTAGTATATCACAACCTCATACTTTAATTCTTTTTTTTCTAATTTAGTTGGATTATTGCATGTGTGTCACCAAGGAATTTTTTTTTTCTGACAGATGCAACTTGATGATCTCTATTTGCATTTCACCATGGAATTAAACTCTCGTAATACAAACTTCCGCGCAGTGGAACATTTTTATATCATTAGTTTAATTGTTCTCTAATAAACTATTTCCAAAACATTGCAGCCGTGTGACTCTCCTGACCTACGTACTTCCGCGCAGTGTAACTTTTTTATATCATTAGTTTAATTGTTCATTGCAGCCGTGTGACTCTCCTGACCTGTCATCTTGAAATTAGGTCACCTTAAAAGCACCGTAAGCGTCTGGGGCAGAGTGTTATTTTTAACCAGTGGTTGCCCTCGTTCTTCTGCTGTGCCTTGTGTAAAGGCTGAAAAAATTTCCTGCTCTACCTCTCTGTGTTAAAATGACTCAATGTTTTCCACTGAAGCCGACGTGTGTTTAGTCAAACTGGACAGTATTGTCTCTCTCTCTCTCTCTCTCTCTCTGTGTCTCTCTATGTCTCTCTCTCTCTCTCTCTCTCTCAGCACAAGTATCTGGTGTCTTCATCTCTGGGTTTTCAGAAGGGAATTTTTCCTTACTCGAACTCAGTTAAGAATCTGTAGGGGCATTTCTCATGCGTGATGTCACACCTAATGGGCGTGTCCAATAGTGAAAAGCGGAGAAGCAGGAATTTCCTCCAGACTAATCCGTGACATGATATAAAAACAATCTCCACCATCACTTTCTTTGGCCAGGTGAAGCGTGTGTGGCTGGGTGGATTCCTTTTAATGTTTGTTTTCTTCTGCTTGGAAGCAATCAGACGGAAATATTTGTGGGTGAAAATAATTCAAACTTAATACATTAAAATGACTGAATCGCAAATTTAACTTAAAGCTTTTAGGCACAAACACACCAGAGCAAAATCTCAACCAAAATAAAACCTTGTGTGTTAACATTAAACATCAAAAGAGACAAAGTTGTCATCCTTTATCAAAAGTGAACTAACTGCCCCCGTCAGTGTGACGATGCCTTCAGTGGAGTTTACAACTGCAACTGCAATTTTCACAGGAAGGGGTGGGAGGAAGTGCAATGCGGGGGCGGGGAGGGGATCTCTGAGGGGAGGGAGGAGACAGGATGAGGGCAGGAAGGAGCCGAACAGGACAGGGTGGGAGAAATGGGCGGTACAGGAAGGGCAGCTGTGAAGAAAGAACAATAGTACATGATGTAGGCAGCACTGGAGGATTTGCTGAATGGGCATTTTGGCTTCTACCTACAAACACACAGTTTACTGTACACACTTCAATGCATTATGTCCACATTAAATAATGTCAATATTGCAGTATACCACTTTGTGAAAACACAGTTAATGATGTGATGTGCTGCGTGCCAAAGTTTTAGTGGCATCATTATTTTAATGTCATTCCTGACATGAGGTCATATATTCTATAAGTCTTAGGTCGTTTTTTTTCCCTGCTCTCTTGCACAACACGTTGTTTTTTTCCCTGCTCTCTTGCACAACACTGGCAGCTCTGTGCCGGGAGACCACAAACTCCAAATGCTCCAGATTTTTAACTGGGTGGAGTCCAACTTTTCCACTCCACAGTACAAACAGTGGAGTGACCTACTTCACAGAAAATGCATTTTGTCTAAAGTGAATATTTACACTGGCAATAAGAAGTGAGTTTTTTCATTTGTTTGGTTTACTATTAGATGATGGTTTGCTCTTTTAATTTCCACTTTCACTGTTGCTTACTTTGTATGCACTGTGTTTTTATTATGCCTGTTAATGCTTTTCTTTTTCAGTGCTGGTGCAATATGACAGGGACTATAAAAAAACCAAAATCACACTCTGTTGTTGTAGGCTGAGGCTTACACAGGAAGGTGCTCAATCCTGGCCAGTGTTTCCTGTAACTCTATCTATCCTGACATTACTGTAAGTCCATATTTATCAGTACATCAGGTGCATTGTAGAAAAGTCCACAGGAGGTTTTAGGACCATGCAAAAGGAAATGGTAAACTCTAGATTTTGTAAACACTTGCTTTAAAAGCACCGGCAATTTGTTGTGTAAACTCAGCTGTGCTGTAATTACTGTCAACTTTATTGGTGATTGTATAACTGTTGCCATGGCACCTAATTTTCCCCAGATGTTTGCTTGTGAGTTATTTTACGATCGTATTCATACAAAACAGATTTTCTTCCATTTCCTATGATTTATGCCATTATTTTTGTCCTTTTCTTTTCTTTTTATTTATTTATTTCTCCTTTTATATTTTACCATTTATTTTCGATGTTTTCTTAACTTCTACGTTTATTTCTTTGAGATGGTGGATTTTTTTTAATTTTTATTCATTTAAAACTTTATTTATTGCTCTTTTGGTTAGTGCGCATGCGCAGGCAAGGAAGCGGAAGTAGGCATCATGTCGGTGGAGGATCCGTTCTTCGTTGTGAAGGGGTAAGAAATAAACACGAAAACCTTAAAACTAAACATTCCTTCATGCACACTCGTGTTGTTACATCAAACTAGTCACCAGCTAACACCTAACAATGTGTCTGTCTCTGTCAAAACTAAGCTCAATTGCTATCTACCACGAAAGTGAGCTCAGAGGCTACTTTCGGCTAATTAGCTTACTCGCTAACAGCCAGTTTGTTTTGATTCGAGACTATACAGAAGGTGCTCGGGTATTCGCTGGGTTTATGTTGTTGTCCTCGAGAAAAACAACCACACAGGACGATATGGGTGAATGATTGCAGAATGCGACACGTATTGAATCACTTGGTGTTCGTTTTTTTTGGTTCAACGATAGGCGTAGCAGCATAGCTTCGGCTGAAACTCAACAGACATGTGTGAAAAATGAAGCCCCTAAGGCAGCATAGTTAACGCATGGTTGTGTTTTCTTTGCTTGTGACCAGGGAGGTCCAGAAGGCCCTGTCCCGTGCCCATGGTCTGTACACCCGGTGGGAGGAACTACTGCAAGATGGGACACAGGTGAGGGCAGCTGACATTCCTTACTCGCTACAGTTCTACTGATTTATTCAAGGTGAAACACAATCACGATCAAATGTTTGTTCGCAATAAGCACTGCAAACAACCTCACTATCTGGTACAGGAAATTTAAAGTCAGCCCTAAAACAACCTCACTACCTGGTACAGGAAATTTAAAGTCAGCCCTACATTTAACAGATTTTAACACTTATTACTAACTTTTTAAAAATAGTGTTTGAACGTATTAAACTGTTGGTGAACAGGAGCACAGCCAATCAGAGACAAAAACCCGTCCATGCTTTGACTCTTATTGGTTTAGGTTGCAATATGATCCTACCATGAGATTCAGTTCGATCACAGGAGAACATACAGAGAGATGTATGTTTTCATTCGAGCAGAGTCAGATGACTTGGATAAATTAGTAGTTGCACTCTGGAGCCCTGGTAACAATTATGAGGCTCGTGAACATGATCCATGAGCATATTTATATCCTGCCAGGGTATATTTAAAGGGAGTGATATCTAAGGTTTTAACTTGGATTCCAAAACAGAAATGTATTATATCATGAAGACGTATTTTGTCAACTCCATATAAATTTACGTCTGTCACATGTAATTATAGACGTAGTGCCTATCCTCCACAACATTTTTTAGAGTTAAAAGTAACTGCTTTCGGCATGTATACTACTGCATGTAGATTATTTATCCTGTATGTTCGTATGTATAGTTAGTAATTTTTCCCCTCAGGTCAGTCGGGACGAACTGGACTGGAGTGCCAACGAGCTACGGAATTGTCTCAGAGCCATAGACTGGGACCTGGAGGATCTCAGTGAGACCATCAGTATCCTTAAAAGAAGAATAAAAACACAGTCTTCATATTATTTCATAACTTCTTTCAAAGAAGTATGATTCTAATAAAAACTAAAAAAAAATCAAGCACAGAGGGGATGATGGCGCCCTTTTGTTTAATAGCTCATCACCTCAGGGAGCTGTAACTCATGAGTCATGAATGACAACAGTATGTTGCAAAATAATAATAGAATCATTATGAAAGCCATGTTTGGAAAATGTATTTTTAATAAATTAAAGGTTTTCAGCTTTACACATTTTCCACTTGATACTTTCACTTAGTGAAAGTGTCATGAGTTGAAGATTATGAAACAAAGTAGACTTGTCTCTGTTCTGTTTGATCCTTCACTGTTTCTCAGGTATTGTTGAATCAAACCCAGGGAAGTTCAGACTTGGAGATAATGAACTTCAGGAGAGAAGAGACTTTGTCGATCGAACCAGAAAAGCCGTCCAGGTACATTTCCTTAACACGGAAGGTGCTAATTATTACATAAAATCTTTTCACATGTTGTGAATATTCATTATGACGTTATGACTCCAAATCATTCCAATGTATCTTGTGTAAAGTTTAAACAAATCACACATTTCTACATTTTTCTTTCTGTTGATGTCTTTATTTTTTTCATCAATCATTTTCAAAACACAGCCATCTTTTACACTAATAATCGTCAAAGTGAGTAGAACAATCAAAATGAAACAAATTGGTCTTTTTACTAAAAGATTTTTTTTTTTACAAAAGTAAACAACAGGCTGTTGCTGTGAAATCTCCTTGAATTGAACATCACTCGACTGCTTGTTTTTTAAGATCCACTGTTGCTGCGGTGGAAAATGTGAGTTGCACTAGACAAACGAGTGAAGGTGTGATCCTTAAAATAGACTCAAAGGAATGGAGTCATCTGAGACTAACACAATGTTTGAGACAAAACACAAACGGTTTTCATGACTCATTGATTTGCTGCACCGTAGAAAATGACATGTATGCAGGTGTTGACGCCGACTGTCACTTTAAAGGTGATCATTTTTTTTCCTGACGATTGTTTTGGTGAGGTGTTAATCATGTGTGTCTGTGTGTATCTGTGTGCAGGAGATGAAGGATCAGTTGTCCAGTCCTTCTGTTGTGGCTCAAGCAGAGAAGAAAAACAGACAGGTTGGTGGAAAGTTGAAGTGTTTTTTTTTCTTTTCTTTTACAGTAATACATTTTTAAAACTGACATCATGTTTCCAGATGAGCTCCTCTTACATCTTACAGTAGACCTGAGGTGTACAAGACAGAGTCAAAATTACAATTGAAAGCAGGATATAAATAAACTAAGGATTTGCACTGATTTGTAATTTAATTTGTTTTAGTTCAGTAAGAACCAGGGCTGCTCATTTATGGCAAAAATTAAATCCCCATTATTTTATTTACAGTGAAATCAGGATTATTCAAAATGATTATTCATTGAGTTGAGAGTTTCCATTTATTGAACTTGCTGTAATATTTAACGTTAAACTGATTTAAAAAAATGTAAACAGAGTGGAAAAAAATAATTTTGTGACTTGTCGGGGATGTAGTTACAGTGTAGGACAGAATGACGGCAACATGTGAGCAAGGCCTTTGGCAAGATAAATCGTTTTATTTTAATTGTCTTGTTTTCATAATCGTGCAAAGCCAAAATTGTAATCGAAATCAAAATTGGATTCTTGGCCCAGCCCTAAAAAGAACTGCAGTTTTTTCCATGGACGTCAGTGGGGTCTGAATGTGTTGGAGTGACGGAAACACTGTCGTTCATTTTAGTCTGGTCACCTTTATTGTCGTTTGCTCCTTGTCAATATGGCACCAGTCTCAATTGTCTTTTCACCCATCAGCCACAGTTTGTCTGTCCTAACCACACGTTGTGCCTTTTCTAGGCTCTGCTGCCCCCGTCGGCTCAGGACAGGTCAACGGGACTTGAAGCCCATCTGGTGTCTGCGAACTCTAGGTACATTCAGGAGCAGCAGGAGCAGCAGCAGGTACCAACAGAGGGAGGTTGTTGAAGACATTTACGAAGAGGGTTTGGAATTGTGGGTCAGAGTGGAGTGGGACGACAGGCGCGGTCCTGGTCCGCACCATGGGGCAGTGAAAAAATAAGGCATGGTAATTAGTTTGTGAAATTACAGTAATCTGGTTTCCTTTTTAAATGACGTGTTTCAGTAGAAGAATGACACTCACTGCACGTTCATTGATTCCGCCGTCCGTTCATCTTGATGGACAGCTTGTGTCTGTGTGCAGCTCATCATGCAGGATCAGGATGAGCAGCTGGAGTTGGTGTCGGGCAGCATCAGAGTTCTCAAGGACATGTCGGGTCGTATAGGAGACGAGCTTGACGAGCAGTCTATGTGAGTAGGCACGCACACACACACACACACAAACAAACACAAGCATAAGCATGTTTGCTGAAAGCCTTGTTTGAACTTGAGCAAAGGTCTCTAGTCAGCAATCTCCCTGACTTTCATTTTAAACTCAAACTTCCCCTAGTGGTCTGACAATGTAAAATAAAATTAAAATCACAATGTTCCTTCTGTCTTCAGTATGTTGGGAGATTTTGGAGATGAGATGGACCAAACCTCGTCTCGCATGGACTCTGTCCTGAAGAAACTGGAGAAGGTGTCCCACATGACCAGCAGTGAGTAAATCATTGGTTTCTCGCTGTTTAATGAAGTTTTTGAAGAGGTTCACTTTAGATCTGTGTTTTTGTCTGCTGGTGTTTTTTTAATTTTATTTTTTATTCTTTCTAATGAAGTCAACTTCTTTTCTGCCGTGTCTCAGGTCGCAGGCAGTGGTGTGCCATTGGCGTGCTGGTCGCCATCCTGATCGTCACCCTCATTCTCTTCTTCGTCCTCTGATGTCAGTGACCGCTCGCTGTCTCCACGACACTCACCCCCGCCTCCACTTGCACAGTCGGACTGATGCTGGAGGACCTCCGTCACTCTCTCCGTCCCTTCTGTTATTTTAACGCTGAGAAGAACCTGATGATCTGCAGGGAGACGTTTTGATGATTCCTCTCTCTGCGCTTTGGTAATTCTGGCGGGGAAATTTCAAATCTGCTCGTAGGTGTGAGCAGCAGAATTTCACCCCTGCTGGTTTTTTAATTTTTATTTTATTTTTTTTCTTAAAGGTACATTTGAGTGATTGTTGGAAATATTCATGCTGGATGAGAATTTAGCGTCAGGCTGATGTTACTGATGTTAAAGACACATTAGAAAGCAAACAGATTATGAAGCTGAACGATTCAGGAGAAACAACTCCTGCCGATGAGCCAGACCCCCTGAACCCACCTTGCAGTAAATAGTTCTAACCAGTCAATTGCAATGCAACATCCATTTACAAGAGCCCAGAAATTCTGACGGTACTAAAATGCAGCCGGTGTCCCTGGTGATTGGGTTGCATTGAGCCATTTTCAAAGTCAAAATGTGTGACTTTTAAAGCCGGTTAGCGACACGAGAAAATCACTGAAACTGTAGTTCTTTATTTTAGAAAGTCTTGTCCAAAAACTCTGTTACCAAAGTGTTGTAAAAACATAGTAACGTAATGTAGTAAGGCAGGGGTAAAAAAAAAGCATTTTGGTCAAAATGACAAATGTTCTTGTGTTTTTAACCGACATCAGAGAAGAGAGAGAGAGAGAAATGCTGTAGGATTAGGCCTTTTGTTCAGTGTTGCCTTAAATCTATTGTATAACCTGGTCCAGTATGCGGTGCATGTACTGTATTGCACGCGACTCAGTTAAAGGTAACAGCAGGAGAATCTTAGTCCACTGTTGTTGTGTTTGCGCGAGGCACAGATTCTTTTCACATCTTAGTCACGCCGGAACATCAGCTGCTGCCGGTTGTTTATAGTCAATATAAACACAGACACACACAGACGTCCAGTCCTCTGCTGGTCGCCTACTCCGGAGCCACTCTGCCCACTGACGTTGTTGTGTCTGCAGCAGCAGCAGCAGCCGCCGCCTCAGTGCGTCCGCCCCACCCCGCGTGGGCTTGAGCACGTGATTGGCTCACGCTGCTCCGTGAGCGGCAGCCTCAGGTCAGGGCAAGTGGGTTCTCTCAGCTTCATCACTGAGGAGTCGAGGAGCAGTTGCTGGGCAGGATGTCTCCACAGTGAGGCAGAGGTTTAGGCTTAGAGCTCCCTCTGCTGGATGCTTTGTGTTGTGCGTCTCTTTTCCTTTACTTTTGTTTCCCCCCACCACTCCAGACCTAAAGTTGACAAATTTTTGTCATCATCACACAGGTATTTTATCATCTCTTTCTGATACAAGCTAATGTGAATATTTTAACACTACAACCAGGCACTGATTTTTTTCTCTCTCTCCATACATTATCAACCTGTTTTTGTTTGGAAAATTGAGATATTCTTAAATATATAGAAAAGATAAATAGACACATCAGTCTGTAATATGGTGGATATTGGGTGTTTTTAGCACAATTGCAACAGTTATTTCAGGTTTTAAAAATGCCAAATTATATGTTTTGTCATTTTATTTAATTTTCCACAACTTAAGCATTACATCTAAAGCCTGCGCATAAATCTTTATTAGGTAACAAACAAAAAATAGCTTCTGTCCTGACCGGTGTCTTGTTGCTATGGTCTAAGTTACTTGGTCGACACTCACTCCTTTACAGTGTTTTGTCAAAATTGTCCAAAGTTTTCCATGCACTATTTTCCTAACATTGTGACCATGATTTGAACACAACACAAAGTTTGTATATAGGAAATTAAAGCGACAGATGTTTGTAGAATACTCTGCACAGTCACAACGAATGAATGGTTTAAACTCAAATAACAAAAACAAATCTTATTGATTGAAGTCTTTGTTGAAACAACGGAAATCTGTCTTTCAAACGAAACGAACTTACCTGAAGTGCCAAAAGACTCTTATCTGCTTATTGTAGGAGTTTATAATAAGCTGATTTTATTGTTTTTGTCTTCTACTGTAAACCTGTCACTGCTTTCCTGTGTTTTGTGTTTTTCCCCTGTTAGGACTGAACTTTACATTCACTACATGAAGAGCTGATGTTACCTGGCAGCTGTTGCTGTTATCAGACAAAAATGTAGTAGCACACCGATTTGTTACAGGCAAGTTTATGAGACAATTTAAGATTGAATAAAGCTTTTAAATATAAAAAAAGTTAATGGATACGTTTATTTTTTGATATTGTGCTTGTGAAGATTTCATCACAAAAAGTCAAAAACTTTCTAATGGTTGTTAATCAATATATTGTTTGTAAAACCTAAATCTAACTGTGAGAGCGCAACAAAAAATCTGTTAATAGGCTGTGCTCAAGCTTTTGGGTCCGTCTAACTTGGCTTCTCTTCTGACTGAGGGGAAAGTCATAATAGGGTGTCACTTTCAATCGGTGTGATGCAATTGCAATTTTTTT